GCTCAGCGCCTATAGCTCAACCGGCTAAGGCGCCAGCCATGTACACCTAATGTGGCGGGTTCGAATCCTCAGCCCAGACCTGCCAAACAACAATGATGGCTGCAACCAAAAAATGGCCAGGCGTTGTGGCGGGCGCCTGTGGTCCCAGCTACTTGGGAGGCGGAGGCAGGAGACTCGCTTGAGCCCAGGAGTTGGAGGTTGCTGTGAGCTGTAATGCCACAGCACTCTACCCAGGGGGACAGCTTGAGGCTCTGTCTCAAAAAAAAAAAAAGAATGCTGTGGTGTCACAGCTCACAGCAACCTCAAACTCTTGGGCTTAAGTGATTCTCTTGCTTCAGCCTTCCAAGTAGCTGGGACTACAGGAGCCTGCCATAATGCCCAGATATTTTTTGGTTGTAGTTGTCATTGCTGTTTGGCAGGCCCGGGCTGGATTTGAACCCCCCAGCTCCAGTGTATGTGGCTTGGCGCTCTAGCTTTTGAGCTACAGGCACCAAGCCTATCATACTATATTTTTAATCAAATATTTTATTATGTACACAATAGCATAGAAGTCCAAATATATAATGTATAAAAACGTACATATTTGAGGATTTGTGCTGAAGAGTGTTTTATTGATGATGTGAGTGGCCAGGAAAGTTTTCAGGCCACTGTAGTAGACCAAGGGCAAGCTGTCCTGGTTGTGTTGTGATTTCTTTAACCCTGAACTCTTGAACCTAGCACAGAGAGAGTGCTTGATAAATGTTCTGAATGAGAACAGATACATGAACAGATAGGTCAATCAATAAAGGAACATTAATTCAGACGTCTGAAATAATATAATTAGTGCCAACTAGTAAGTGGAGGTGTCAGGATTCAAATTCAGTTCTGCTCAACTCCAAAGCTGTACTTCTCTAAGACTAGGTGCTGTTCAGCATACTGAACAGATTAGAAAGGGAGAAGCTGAGATGTTTTTCCAAGCAGTTGGTTGTTAAAAACACACAGATAACCTCCAAGTAACAGGAAAGCATTACATTAATCAGGAGGTTTTACCATTCTGTCAGCTTTTCCACTACAGAGAGATTCTTTGGAAACTTAGAAAAGCAATCGGGCTCTATCACATTTCCTCCAGTTACACATACACGTATGTTCAGGCAGCACCAGAGGCTGTGTCCTCTGTGACCTGGGACACTTCCCTTTCTGCATGTGATACACAGAGGGAATCTCTCAACCTTTGTTTTTTTTAGCATAGGCCGTATCTCCTCCCTCAAAAAATGAAACAAAAACCTTCAATCAGGTAAGGAATACAAGCTTCTTTTCCACTAAGCTATTTATCTACTATATCTAATTAGTCACAAGACAGATTGACTTGAGTTTCACTTCTT